ACTGCGTCACTCACTCCCCTCTCGGACGCATAGCAGGCCGCAGAAACCCCCCGCTCTGCTCGAGCCTCCAGCTCAATGAAAACATCATCGCCAACCATCACGGCGGCGGAGACAGAGACAGAATAAACAGAGATGAGAACCACCCACGGCCTCACAGCTGGAACAGAGCAGTCAGAGAGATAATGATAAAGAAATCTGCTTTATCCTTCATCTAGTCCTTTTTATTTCATGCTCTAATGACTGTGAAACATGCTGGAACCGTTTCCACATCAAACCGCAGAGCATCTCAGTATCTCACCAGCACAAATCCATCCTCTCTCGGCTCGAGACAAAAACACACGAGTGGCTTTGAGCAGCTCTGCTCTCGACACACCAGACCACAAATGTCGCATTCGACCCTCTTCTCGGCATCTACGACGTTTTTAATCATTGCAATGGCTCCACATAACGAAACGAGGTTTCCCTCAAAAAATGCACAAACACAATCTTTATTCATCGCTTTAGCCAAACACAACTAAATAAACATTTCAACTTAGCAACTTAGGGCAATTGAATCCTGCTCTTTCCTAACCAGAACGTAGCTGCGCTTTTGCACAAAAAACAAGCCCGGTACAGTGCAAGAGCAGTAAAGATGATTTACTAGTCAAAGAGGTCAAAGAAGCTGAACTTCTACAGACGTTTCTCTTCATTTCCTTGCTACGATCGCCACAAACCCACATTTACCCACTGAAATCCACAAAGCATCCAATGCAGAAAAAGAGCATGCCACTACAGCACAACACTGTGTTTCCAATTACAATATTTTTTATGAGACGACATGTGCAAATCATTAAAAGACAATCATTTGCTTTCACAGTTTCGACCAGACACTGAAAAGCAAATGCACTTGATGTCCAGTGTTTTTAAAAGAAATATTATCTCACGTGTGCTACTCGAACATGGTGTATTTTTTGAAAGCATAGCTTGACTTGCCTGTTTTTTCTTTGATTTCACACAGGACGTTGAAGAGCGCTGGCTTCATTCTGTGGCAGTTGAGAGCATGTTTTCTGAAACACAACACAAGGCCGCGGTGAGCGTCGGAGCAGACGAATATTTCACTCAGCTAACAAAGACTTCTGTTGCCTGAACGTACACTGATCGTGGTGAAATGGAAAGCACACACTGACCTGAGCAAACTCATGCTAGTCTCGGTTTACCATATTTTGCATGCATACTGGTTGTATAAGATTAACAAAATTCCATAATTAGCACTATTAATAATTCATATTTTTGTATCTTTGCATGTTTAAAATTAATCATGTTTTTTATTTTACACATCTATATGTAAAAATAAAAATAAAAAGATTAATTAATGCATTCAAACATTTTGCAATAGCAATGGTTGTGGGCTGAGTGATTACATTATAACAAAAAATCATAACACTGTACACTGCAGATAGTTCTAAAATACACAGGGGAAAAAA